CCTGATTTCTGGGCCTCATCCTCCGGAAATTCTGTTTCTTTGTTATGGGGTGATGCCACAGCATTAGTGACAAAGAAACAGAATTTCCGGAGGATGAGGCCCAGAAATCAGGATTTTAAGAAGATTCCCAGGTGATTCTAATGTGCAGCCAAGGTTGAGAACCACTGCTCTAGGGACTCTTTGTTTATAAGTATTTGCAATGTGCCAGGCACGGGGCTAGACCTCGGAGGTGCAGGGGTGATCCAAAAAGAGAGTTTTGGGAGTGGCTAGCGATGCTCATCAGATCAGCAGGGTTCTTGCTTGACAGTGGTAAGGCCTCAGAAGACAAAACACGGATGTGATAGTGGCCGTGGGAATGGTCAAGGAAGGCCTCTTGGAGCAGGTGCTACTTGAATGGGAATGGAGGACGGCAGAGCAAGAGCCCTGAGGCAGGGATGAGCTAGGTGTGGATGGGCTCTTGCCCACTAGTCCAGCTTCCTGCCGGCCAGTCCTCTCCTGCTGTGCTCAGACCCCTACCACAGCCTCCCAGCTGTTGCTCAAACACCAGCTCTCCTGCCCTGAGGCCCCCTCTCTGCTTTTCCCTGGTCTTTGCAGGACTAGCTTCTTTCTGCCAGTCAGGGCCAAGTGGAATGTCCCTTCCCAGGGAGACCTTCCCTGTCTCTATGGAAAGCACCTGCCCCCTTGGGACTCTACCAGTCACCTTCACTATACCTGTCCCTAGGGAACACGACTAAAAAAGGCGTGCCACTGAGGGCAATATTTGTTTCTTATTGCCTATCTATATACTAGAGGCCTGGTGCACGGATTCGTGCACATCGAAAGGAAATTAACTAGAATAAATATTTTAGAGGCCAGGGAGGGACTGTGGGAGGGCTCCAGGGCTTATGACTAAAACTTACATGTGGTTTTTAAATCTCCTTGTGGGGTATATATTATGACCATTATTTTAAAAACACACAAATAATACATGGCTACCTGAGATACCACCAACCATAGATAAACAGTATTTACATCTTTATGTATGATACATCTTTCTCGACATTTTACCATAGAGATATAATAGAATGAACCACACGAACTAGTGATATTGTCTATTTTTAATTTAAAAATGTTAATTTCATGTGGCTCTCAAATCAGTACAGGGATGGGCAATGGTAGGTT